AGGGATACGGTGGTCATGCTTGTGTTCATTGGCGGATTTGAAACTTATTGAATTATGTCACAAACATAAATATTTTGTGGCCTTTATAACCAGGTTCGGAATAGTCAAGCGGATATGGGGTAGCCGCGTTTTTCATCCTCCTTTCTAATACATCATATTACCCCACTGGTATGGATATCACATTCTGTACTATTCAACTTCACTTAAGGTTGATTTAGGGTCAATCACGAAATGAACATTATCTAAACTAAATAAAAACGCAGTTATTCCTTGACTATGACTCATCATAAACTTACTGACCAGGTTTGTTCTATCCATTAGCCCGTGGTTATACAGAGTACGGTATTCTGTCTATGTTAAGTGGAATCAGACATGTACTAGTTAATTTCGTTGCATCGTCTCATCACCCCGTTTAAAATCGTCAGCTTTTAATCAGGATGGTGGTGCAGAAATCAATTATTCTATTGCATCACGTCTGTCTTACTTGACTTGATATCTCTGTGGGACCGTAAAATTAGTACAACGCTGGGTTCGGTATGGATTAATTAGTTCAAAGCATTTCAAAACTGGCCAAATTACACTATGCTTCTTTGATTGTGAAAGTCTAGCCTCGCCGAATATATCCTAATATTTTGAGTGGTGATGTAAGAATATTACTGTGTATCAAAGTTTAGATTTCCAATGAAAAATATAACCAGAAGCAATCAGGTTTACTGCACGAGAACAGGAAAGTATTCAACATACGAAATCATGACAAGAGGATAATTTTCAACCAAGGGAATACGACCTAAGTTACAATCGACAGGTTTAGTTCAATGGAATGGCATAATTCGACACTGTGTACATTTAGAACTATGAAACGAAACTGCGAATTCCGGTATGGTTTGAATTTTATGACGAAATATTTCGCTTCGTCTTGTTAATTTGTGGTATGACGTTAGAGTACTATGCAAGTGAGATGGAACTTAAAATCTCCAGTTGGTTTTTGCAATCAAGAGTTTGGCTGTGTTTTGAAGCCTGTAGCAGCTAGAGGTCCCACATCATAAAATCTACCGCATCAGTATTGGTATTTTGTCTAGCTCGGTCTCAACAGGAGTGAAGATTTATTTCGTTCGAAGACAACATCATGGCCAAATGTTACAGCGATCGGTTGTATGGCAATCAGAAACGACAACATATTTCGGTCCCAATTTACTGACAGTAGCGCAATTGCTTTCGTTCGGACTGGGATGAATCCAATCTGCCGCTAATGTTTGAAAGTTCATTTGTGCAGGCCTCATTTGAATTGATAATACATCCTATATAGTTGTAGGGTGATGTCAAGCACATGCAAAATTTTGTTTAAAATCTACACATTAACTTTCGAATCGCATATTAATGAACTGTTTGGCTGCAGGAGATAGATTTGAGTTTATTTTATACCGCAACGAAAATGTAAATTTCCAAAGTGGAATGACCAAACTTAAACCATACAAACATATATATATATATAGAGGCTATCCGTTATATATATATATATATATATATATATGTAAATTTCCAAAGTGGAATGACCAAACTTAAACCATACAAACATATATATATATATATATAGGCTACCCGTTATGCCCTATGTTGAAGCTGATATTGCATTTATGATGCAAATATGATGATGGAAATATTTATGATAAAAATATCAAGAAATGCAATAAAGTTGCTTAATGGGTGGAGTTCCTGTAGGTCATCCGTTGTCAGAAGCAACATGACATGCTTGATCTAGCTCCAGACCACGCAATTGGCTAAAATTGCATCCCGAGTGGAGCTGATGCATTTAAACTGCTATGTAGATCACCCTATATATCTTAAACATCTGTCCATCCACGGTAATGATGACTTCCGATGACTATGACAACGTAGCCATCAGTGCTCAAACTTTGTGATGAGACTTAAAAACAGCGTTTCGAAGAGGATACTGCGAGTATTATACATTTTTCATCGGATCCTACTGACTCAAGATACGCATTTATACTACTATTTCTGGACATGGAATAAGCATTCGATCGAGTGCTCCACAAACCGTTGCTGATAAAGAAAGTTTCCTTTGGAATAGGGGACTCACCCCTAAGATGACTGTTGTCATACCTGAGCAGCCTTTCTCAGGTAGTTATCAAAACTGACCACAACTCTTCACCAAGTCCAGTCACTAGTCCTGTTATCCAAGAGAGAATAGTTGGTCCGTTAGCGTTCCTTCTCTACGTCCATCAAATGATATGCCTTTCCTATTTGCAGATGATATAAAAATAATCTACAAATTCCGACGAGAAGAACTTCTAGACACTACTGCTCATACAGGAAAACCTCCACCACCTTGAGAAATGGTGTAACACATAGATGATATCGTCCTAGCCGAAGAAACGCAACATCATATATTGCGGTTGTTCTATACCCGAGGGATCAATTACACACAACGACGAAGATGTTGTGTACAACTCTCTACCTGGGACCTCGGAATCGGGTATCCTTGCATTGCACATTTTCCGAACAAGTTGCATACCAGCTGGCCTGGGCCGGAAAATCAATGTCCGATCTACTCTATAAAATCCACATGACGCCAGCTAGAGTAAAACCACAAAATCCTCACTCGCCCCATTCTGGAATATTGCAGTATCACCTATCCGCATGAAGAAAGCTGACATAGTATCTGGAAAGTCTACGGAGGTCATCTACCAAAAGTCTTCAAGGCAAAATCTCCAGTAAGAAATATTGGATGCGCTGCCAACCATTCCAGGTCGATACACTGTAGATACGAACGTTACGGCATAACCTGATGCTTCTGTACAATATGATCCATTAATACAATCATTGCTATTTGGCTTCCTTAGAACTACAGCATGGTTCGACAAGCGAGGAACGCATTAACGAGTTTACCTTGAGTGTACCCAGGTGCAGAACGAAACTGCGGTCCAAATTTTGCCTTATCAGATATGCCGCCCTGTGAAAAACGATCCCAGTCCTATTCAGATCATGTAAAAGCACAACAGCTTTTGCGAAAAACTCGCATTATAATCCTATTCTCCTGTGAGAGATCAATTGATGAATTCTTCTAAGAAAGGCTAGACGACCTATGATTGGTTCGACAGAATGTGCTCGCATGTTTGAGTTTAACAGATCTGACTGCGTTAACAAATTTTATCTACAGTATGTCTTGTGCTGCGTTTCTGAACATCTGGAGCAAGCTGTCCCAGTAACTAATGTAAACAAGTAAACGTCAACTTAAATAACGTTCTGTCCGCGGCGATGGTTCTTGGGAAGTTCCTTAGGGGAGAGCTTGTGATAAATTTCTGTTTGCTAAGTATGCAAAGAACTTGATGTCTAGTGTTAGCGCAACGACTAGTCCGAGGCTGATAAATAGCAGTGACAGTCGACACTATCTCTGGTTTAGGTAACTGCGATGTAACAATTCGCATTCCTACGATATTGTGAACAAGGTTACTATATTTTTAATCAAGTGTTTCTCTGTCACTTCAAGCGTATAACTAAAAGGTTCGGATGTCTTCTACTTAAAGACTTGCATTGGCATACCTAGAAACGCAAGCACTCTCTTAAGCTTTCATTATACCTATATACTTTCAATTAATGTGTGAGCTTGATAATACCTCAGGCTTAGCGACTTTGCGTTTGGATATCCATCAATCACTCTTCAACATGCAGCACATATTGAACAGTATTATTCGTGAAAAATGCGGCTGCCTTGATCGAAAACAGCGATTAAACTACTGCTAACAAGGTGAGACGATTAAATGCTTAGTATAAATATCAAGTAACTACACACGCGATCAATCACTTTGGATGTGACATTTCAATCACCGATTATTCACTCATCATTAAGGGAAAATGTATTCACAAAACTCACTCTGCTCGCCTCTTAAGGTGTACTAGACTGAAACAATAAGCCACCCGCAAAATAGCAGTGAGAATAGTCGATTAAATCGTGGGATGTTACAGACAACAAGTTGCATTGGCATTTGAAGGCAAAGTAATACGTGCTGTCAGGCTGTTTCTGCCTACTTAACTAATCAAGTTGTGTGGAAAATGAAATAGATCAGGAACAATGAAATGACACAATGTAGCCAGCGCTTTACATTGAAGTGTTTGAAAGTGGGCTCTCAAGCTGATAAAACTGAACGCCAGTGCTAAGTATTTTAATCCTCGTTTATCTAAACCTCAATGTGTTCCGTTACGCATTCTAAAGCCAACGAACTCCGCTGGGTAAGTATATAAGCCTGCACAATTTAAAGACGCTTATGTCTTGAAAATGGATCAAGCAAAATATTTTTATATATTAACAAGTGGCTGATTGACAAAATTAGCATGCAACAGCATGAAAGGGTAGATGAGCAACAACATAACTAGAACACAAATGATGCCTTTTATGTTTATGTAAACATTTATTTTCTCTTAGAGCTTGAAGCACTAATAATAGCTTAATTTTATGCGTAAAATTCTTCCTATAAATTAACGTTAAATTGTTCTCCTTTGATGGAGCCAACTAGGATTCGCCCTGTATTTGAGGTAAAACAAATTTAAAGTATCTTGTACATAGGAAAATATGATAATTATTTTGTGACGTATTACTATTTCAGATTAGGTGGTGGCCTTTCTGTATGCAAACACGTTGAAAACATACGCATCGTTCCGAATCTTGAAGTCGGAATAACGACGTTCCAATGACGTCAGGTCTCCAATGAGGAACTTGTAGGATCTATTAGGAAGAAAGAAAAATAGGAGGAAATAGTCAGCTTGTAAGTTCGCTCGGCTCGCCCACAATACAAACTGTGTTGCTGCAAGTTGGGGTAGCTAACTCAGATATTATGGGATGCCGTTGTTCAGTAGTATAGTACTGCATTTTTCATACATTTTTTCACTTATAACATAGGTACCTGCCAAAAAGATGAGTCAGACGCGAGGGGAGTACGTTTGTATTTATTTGTGTGTCAGAGGTCATTGTTGTTATCTACTGAGGGAACTACGCGGTGCCTCAAAGCAACACAGGCTGTCATGCATCCAGGAAAACATTTTACTTCCTTTCCGTAAAATCTGGGATAGTCTGTAATGTGCATCCAGAACAGAACCCATGAACTCTTATGCCGCTGCGCCGTGGATGAATTCAGCCGACCGAGTTCCCTAACAATTCAACTGCTGTATACCCTGGCTTATTGCTCATTGCCAAGGAAAAGATCTGCCTCCTACATCCATGGCTTCGGATAGCAGGTGCATTTATTTACGGCGCAGGTAACGTTTTAGTTTATTTGGAGCGGAATTTTAATATAAAAACACAACCAAATTGCCGAGTGATGCATAAAGAATGTACTAATCACATGCTACGCTCACACATTCCTTACTACAAAAATGCTGCTCAAAACACTAGACACTTTCATTTTCATCCAGCATTCAAACACGAAAAACATCGAGGACAGTGAGCGTGATCAAAGCATTATGTGGCAGGTGAACTGTTTGGAAATAAGCCCGTGCTCATTTGGTGGATACCAATAGACTGATGTTAGAACACCGATTTTCGCAATGTGTCCCTATTCAAACAAATAAGTTATTTTGAAGGTTATGTTGCATTTTATAGTTTGCCAAAGCAAAAAGACTACAAATTGGCAACCTAAAAGATACAAAGATGTGAAGTTTTTAAGTTGCTTAAAAAATAAGACTACGTAAATTCGACAGAAACTTGCACTGGACATTTTGAGGTTGTAGCACCTTCAGATTCACAAAGTAAGTTGCAAAACACGTCAATCTCGTTTAGTTTCGGGATGTCATCAAATTAAATGTAGTTTTTATGCGACAATAAGATGTATGTGTATGTAAGGCGTTCCAAATGATTTATGATTGTCAAATGTGCAAGCTAACAAACCTGAGCAACCCAGTTTTAACTAGGTTGTTAATGTTCTCACCTTAGTTACCAATTGCATTAATTCAAAACTCCAATTCACATCATAGGCGTTCAGAAACTTTCTATGGGCCTAATGCGCTATAACTGCTAGATATTCTGTGGGAGCGACTTTGAGAGTGTTTATCAGTTTAAAGCTCAAACCATCTATCTTACAGATTGTACCGTGAGTTAAAGGTTTATATTTTCTATTTTCATCTTGGACCAAACAGTTGTTATCTAGTTACAGCTAGTTCGAAACGCTATATGTTCAGTTTATCACCATATAGTAAAAGTATGCCTTTAACCACTCTTAGATGAATATCCAGGTTGAGCTTGAAATATAAACGTTTGAATATTTAGACAGAACAGAAGAACTTGTTGGTTTGTGAAGTAATTGACAGATCAAAATTATAGAAATACATCTTTGAGTGCAGCAATCAAAATCAGCCGTTTCTTGATCCTAAATACGGTATTGTATTCACCCAAAAATTAATGTGATCCCCACATTCCTTCCTTGCCTCATTAAATGCATGCGTTGTTTGCAAGTGCATTCCATGTGCACAGAAAGACTGTGTTACGCATGAAGTGAAATGCCGACAGAATTGTTGTTACTCGTGATATTCTATTTGAGTGAATCGTTACTTCCAGTCTGAGGATAGTAATGGTACGACTGTTATAAAAAACAAACGCACTCGTAATCCAGTGTTAAGCATGTGGCTCCTTCCGGCTCAGCGGCGATAATATTGGCAGTTCTTTTATGGTCACTAAGTATAAAAGAGTAAAATTTAGCTTGTTAACGGAACATATCTTTATTGAACCATGCTTTGTGCTGCTCTGAACAGTTAAATAGGCTTAAAGTTACGCAGAGATATATCCGCGCCCAATTTATCAAAGTTCGTGTAGGTGTATTTAAAATTAACTAGATATATCCCGTATCGGCTTCGGAGGCAGAGAACACTAGCAAACTTATATCGCTTGTTGGCGATTCGGAGTTCAATTACTATGAGCTAGGGCTAACAGATGGATGATAGAGATGAAAGAACTGCGGTGTTTACATAACAGCTGAATGTCATTGGCAACTGTACTTTCTCAGATGCAGTCAATGGACTACTTAGCCTCAAGGTACCTAGTCGGCTCACCAAGAAAGATTGTACCTAAATATCAATTACGCGGCCATATTGAACATGATACTGATCAGGTACACAATAATTAATCAAATTCTTCTACCACCGCTACACATGAAATTTCAATGTAGAATTTATGCGATGTATCGCCAACACTTCTTATTTTCCAAGTTCACTTGTGGTCAGTAACTTACCCATTGAGAGCTTTTTCTCCGAACCACTCTCCTCGTTTCAAAGTGCGGACGAATCGAGGCTGCATTTCAGTGCGGATTTCTCCGTCTGAGCCTGTTTCGTAAATTGTCACATCCACCTTTCCCTGAGTTATGATGAACAAATTGTCTCCTCTGGCTCCTTGCCTGATCACATACTCGTTGGATTGATAATGTACTTCACCGAGCTGGTCAGCCACTTGACTTAACATCGCTTCCGAGAGGTTTTTAAAAATTGGCAGGCTACATGTAAAGGCGGGAGAATAAGTTAGCTCGTATTAACAAGGAACAATTGAAACGTACATAAAACTATCTCCGTTCTCACACGAACATTAATAATATTTGGATTTGTGTTGTGCATCTGTCATTAACGTTTAAAGCCATTACGCAATTAGTGCTTTATTCAGATGACGCACGACCTGTTCAAATTTATTAGTGAATAAAGATTGCTTTGTGCGAAAAGGCAAAAGCACAAGCAGAAGTAAGAACGACCTTTCGATAAACAAACTACTGTAGTCCCACTGGTGTCAAACTAGGGTGAGTACAAATAGGGATACAAGTAGAGAATGAACCAATAGGGAAGCAGCTGAGTCTAAATGTGTATGTGCATATCTGGGTTATATGCACGTTGGTGTGGGGGTTTAGACCAATGCCGGCGGCGTGAATAAAGATATAGAGTAAATACACAACAGTGATATACTGAGTATCGTTGGACATCATGTTTAAATGGAAATAACCTGTGGTTCCGAACACTGCTTGACCTATCCGTAAAACGGGCTCCAAAGACGGAAAGTTCGGAACTTTGTTTTTGCATGCTGGGAAGCGCGTTAAAGTAGTAAGGATTTACGAGCTTTGCTCATAGTCACTATTTAACTATGAGCTATAACTGCAAAGTGTGATTTGTTATGATCTCACAGGTATATAAGCAGTGTTAGATACCTCCCCAGCTTTATTCAGCTAAATTATTTTAGAATAACATGATTCATATGAAGATCATTTGGGTCACACTGGAAGCGGGTTGCTCTAATTAGCCCCAAAACTCGTGTAATAATCAAAACAATAACAGACACATTAGCCTAAGTAGTAGCTCAAAATTGTGTTTGTATTTGTATACAAATACACGTCGTTTTGCCACAGGAAACCTGGGCGATGGTTTATTTGCTACTGCTGACTACCACCTATATCTTCTCTTGGTTTAATTTGTCATACGTAGTAACTGCATATATAAAAGTCTAGCTATATTATTCAAAGAAAACGAGATTCTGCCGATTTTCTTATTCAGCATTCTTCCAATATACACATCATTATACATTATTATAGCGACAGGTGGAAAAAGCCGCCACAATACAAAAGAAAAAATCGCGCAACAGAGGCACGCCGTCTCAGTCACCAGTAACAGATGGACATCGTTCCGGACAGGTAACAGCCGGCAATTGCGCCGATAACAGAGTTATATTAGACATAATAAATGAGACTGTGTTGGCACTCGATGCTAATTGGG